ACTCCTGGGGCAAAAGGAACCAGCACCGGGTGAGAAAACCTAACCCATAAAGGACAGCTGCTAGAGGCCGACTGTAGGGGCGTCTGAGAGGTAAGAACTGCCAGGCATCGGCTCAGAGGCCCACACTCTGTGGGGTTTATGTCCAGGAGCTCTACTCACTTCTCACAGTGAAGGTCTGAAAAAATCTTCTCTCACATTTTGAACTATACCAGAGCATGTGTTCTGAGCAAGGGCCACCCTCAAGCAATTTTACACTCTAACCTGCCGAGGGCTTATAGAGGTTCCCAATATAGGAAACAACCTTTAGCCCGAGCTGGGCTTCCATGTGGGAGCAGGGAAAAATACCCAGCTCCCCCGCACTCTCACCATCCTGTCCCACCTAGGGAAAGCATCTGGGAAATGCACAGTTCGAGGCGCAGGCTCACTAACGCTGAGACCTAATCACACCACTACAGACTACTTTTTCTCTGCACACCTTGCCACCATGTCGCAAAGGTCTATTTGCTATAACCCCTTTCATCTAGCACCTCATCTCCAGCTACCAAGAAAAATTACAAGACAAACTAAAAGCCAAAACTCCATTTGAGGAGACAGAATATCAGAACCAGACTCAGATGTGGCAGAGATGTGGGAATTACCAGGCCAAAACTTTAAAATAATTATGGTTAATGTGCTAGCATGCAAGAACAAATGGGCAGTGCAAGCAGAATGGAAAATTTTAAAAAGCAGCAAAGAGAAATACTCATAATCCAAAAGAGTAAAACAGTAATAAAGAATGTCTTTGATGGGTTCAGTACTATACAGGACACAAGGTGAAGGAAGAATCTTTAACCCCAACGATGTGTCAACAGAAACTTCTACAACAGAAAGACAAAGGGAAGGGAGGAAAATGAGGAAGAGAAGGCGGAGAAGGAGACACAGGTAGACAACCAGAGGTGTAACATAAAAGTAAATAAAAGCCAGGCTTTCATGGTGGCAAATGCCTATAACCTGAGCGCTCAGGAGGTTGAAGTTTGAGTCCGAGGTCAGCCCCGGTACATAGCAAGTTCAAGGCCAGCCTGGACCTTGTAGCGAAACCTTGTTAAAAGAAAGGGGGAAAGAAAAGAAAAAGAAAGGAGGACAGGAAGGGAACGAAGCAGCATAAATGTTCACCCAAATAATAGATAGGCAGACTGCATATAATCAAAGATAAAATATACTGGACAAAAACACTGAATAAGCCATGGGGTATAGGTGTGGATGTTGCCAACAGAAGAGCAAAGGCAAAAACACCAGGCTTCGCTTCAGAAGCCACACTTGCAATAAGAGGGTGGAGTGAAATATCTCAAGTATTGAGAGGAACACCACCAACTGTTTAATCTGTCCATATTTAACGTTTTCTGCACATGGCTGGATTTAGGCCTGCGATTTTGTTGCTTTTTCTACGGGTCTTCTTTAATGCCTTTCTGATCTTTCTACGATTTTTAAAAGCTTTTTTTTTGTTCCAACAGAGCTCCATTCCTCTTCTACCTTGCTACCACTGTCATGTGTGATACATGTATGCTAAAATCCAACACTACATGTAATCATTTTATGTATTTTAAAGAGGGAAAAGGAAAAGAAAAACCAAGTTATTTTATAACGTCTTTTCTAATAACCAACACGCTTACCCCTTGGAGCACTTCCATTCCCACTATAGCTTCAGGTTACTGCCGGTGTCTCCTCTTACTCCAGCTTCCTCCGCCCTCTTCTGCTCTGTTACTGTGTTAAGTGTTTGCCTAGTACTTCCCTGTCACTTGTACTTTCCTAAGGCACCTTTGCAGATAATGCAAATAATGAAGTCTGTCTTTGTTTATCTAGAGATATTTTTATTTTGCCTCCATTTCTGGATACAGAATTCTTGGTTCACAGCTTATTTTGTTCTGCTCAAGTGTCATTCCACCAATTTCTGGCTCTCTAAGAAGCCAGCTGTTAATCTTAGTGGCTGTTTTTCTATATGAGAGTTTTTTTTTTCCTTGCTGCTTTCAAGATTTTCCTGTTATTTTGCAAATTTTCTTATGGATTAAAGGGTAACTCCCTTAGATGATCCTTAATGGATCATCTCGATTGAAGTCCTGAAAATGGTATGAACATGACACTGTAGTGGGCCCTAAAGAACAGGCTTAAAAAGTAAGACCACCTGGTGTCAGTACAAACCAGGTAATTAAGAATCCTGGCTATGTACATGTACCAATTCCCTGCATGAATGGAATCATTATGTTCTACAAACATGCTAATAAGTAAATTAATTAATAAAAAAAGAATCCTAGCCAAACAACATGGAAGCTTAACCGTAATACTGTTTTGTAATTAGATTTGTTTTCTAAAAAGCAGGCAACAGAAATGCCTTAATACAGGCTTTTTCTTTTCTTTCCTCCTTTTCTGAGACATGGTCTTATTATGTAGTGCAGGCTGGCCTTGAACACATAGCGATTCTTTTGCCTCGTGCTCTCATATCCTAGGATTATAGCCATTACATGCCGAATCAACAGATGAATGGACGCAGAACATGTGGTACATTTCTATGAAGGAGTGCTGCTCTAGCATAAAGAAGGAGCAACTTGAATCATCTGTAGGAAAATGGATGCACTACGAGACCATGTTAAATGAAATTCATCAGACACACAAGTGTAAGTATTGTATGGTTTCTTAGATACAAAAACCCTACTAATAAATAAAGAGCTGGGCATGGTGGTTCATGCCTGTAATCCCAGCACTTGGGAGGCCAAGGCAGAAGGATCATTGCAAGTTCAAGGCTAGCCTGGGCTACACAATGAGTTGAAGGTCAGCCTGAACTGCACAGCAAGACCCTACCTCAAAATATAAAGACGATGGCTAACAGTAATCAGGGAGACAGACCTTTTGCAAATGGGAAAGGGATCTAGACATAAGAGAGGGGGAAGGCAGGGAAGGGAAGTAAAGAGACTTAAGAAGCGTTCTGTACATGTATCAACTCTCCACAATGAACATGTACTAATGAAAATTAATACAGAAGGTTTTATATATTCTGGATGTTACTCCTTTGTCAGACTCGTGGGGGACAAAGATGTTTCTGCCATTCTGCAGGCTGTCTTTGCTATCGGTGGCTCCCTGTGCTACAAAGAACATTTTAAAATTGACACAGCCCCTATAATCTCCTTTTCTACTGGAGTCCTATTCAGAGTTGCCTAGGTCTACTGGCTTCAAGTTCCCCTGCTTTCTCTCAGCAGTTTCAAAGTTTCAGGTCTTATTAATAGGTCTTTGAGCCACTGTGAAGTGATTTTTCTTAAATAGAGTGAGAAAGATCTAATTTCAGTCTTCTACAAGTAGATATCCAGCTTGCCAGCAATATTTGTTATGAGGCTTTTTTCCAACAGGTATTTTTGGTTCCTCTGTCTAGAATCAGACGGTTGTATGTGTGATTGTTCCTGTGTCCTCTCTTCTGTTCCCCAGTCCATATATCTGTTTTTGTGCCAGCACCATGCTGGTTTTGTTACTCTGGCTTTGGGGTCTAATTTGAAATGAGGTGTTGTAATGCCTCCAGTCTTGCTCTTTTTGCTTAGGATTGTTCTTGCTTAGACATCTGAGCCTATAAAATTCTCCTATCATAAATTTTAGAAGGTACATTCTAGCTGTTCTAAAGGGAATACAGTGTTCCCTGTATTATTTTTATTTTCCAAGTTTTAAAAGATTCAAATTATTTCCAAAGAACAAACTTTAGATGTTAGGTTCAGGGGATGCATACACATGTATATGTTCCGTGTATGTGTTTTTCTGAGACAAGGTTCTGCTATGTAATCCAAACTTCTTGACCTTGTGATCCCCAGCTTAAGTCTCCCAAGTGCTAGGATTACAGATGCATATCATATCTGGCTTGTGTGCATGAGTTAGTGGATGTTTGCACATACATAGCAATTAACTGTATTCATCTTTCCTGCAATGGTTTTTCCTGTTTTCTTAATGCTTTTTTTTTTTGAGACAGAGTCTCACTATGTAGTTCAGGATGACCTTGTACTCCCTGTCTAGTCCAGGCTGGCATCCAGTTCATGGGGATTCTGCTGCCTTAGTCTCCCATGTGCCGGGATTACACGTATATGCTACCAAGCCCAACTGTGATTTCTATTTTTAATGCTCATTTAAAATACGATAAGGGGCTAGGGATTTAGCTTAGCAGTGTAAACGCCTGCCTAGTCGTGAGGTCGTGAGTTCAATCCCCAGTACCAAAAAAAAAAAAAAAAAAAAAAGAAAAGAAAATAAATCTATTAGAGGAACAGGGATTTAAAATAAAATCCAAACATTACTGTGAAAAATCTGATTCCTTCCTACCATGTGTCACTAATCTCTTATCATACTTCTTCCCTTCACTGGATCAGAGCCACATGAACCTGCCCTTTCATTGTTGTTTTGTGGTCCTAGTGCTTGCACCCAGGGCCTTCACTTTGAGTCACATCCCCAGGCCTTCAGTTTATTTTGGGGCAAGTTCTGGCTAAGTCACTAAGTTCCCCAAACTGAGCTCAAGACTTGCAATCCTCCTGTCTCAGCCTCTCAGACCTGAGAATACATGCAGGCACCAAGATACCTTGCTTAACCTGCTTCTGAGGAAACCTCTTGCCTTAGGACCTTGCCCTTACTCTGGAAAATGCATGCTCCTTCTTACTCTTTAAGCAGAAACTTAGATGTCACTTCCCAAAAAAGACCATCTGGGGCCAGTCCTTCAACTTCAGATCCCTTACCATGTGTTTGTTATTTCCTATCAGGGGAACCTATTTTTTCCCATTTTCATTACACTTTCAAATTCAGTGAAAGCAAGGATCTTGTTTTATTCACTAAGTGCATCATAGCCCAAATTCAATGCTGGTTGGCCATGAACACACTTTGTATGAATGCTGCATGAGATGTAATGGGAAGCCACCCAAAGAATTTTGCAACCCTTATTTGTCCTTATATATTTTCTAAATCAAATCTGAGATTTAAAAATGTAAACAAGAACAAAAATATCTTACCTCCTGCCATGACAAAGTGGCTCAGGGCATTTTTATTTCGGTACACAGTTAGTCCAGTATTCACTGAGCTGAGCATTAGGGAGGAAAAGAAAATATATAATTCAAAACATACTCCACTTCCCTTCTTGATGCTACATTCATTGAGATGAATAGAGTTAGAAGAATCTGCAGTAGTAATCCCTATCCTAATCTAGGCCCCCTCCACTTGGTGTTCTTGATTGCTGAAGTGCCAAAGGGCTTCCGAGTTAGATTTTCTGCTAAAGAGGAACTAAAGAGCAATCAAATCTCTGGGATAAATATTCACTTAGAAACAAACAAAAAGGTTCTACAGAATTTCTATTAATTAGAACTCACTCTTGTATCTGTGTTGATCCTAATTAGGAGATCTCTATCCTGGCTACAGTTAAATCAGTCTCTTACAAAGATAGACAAAAGTTCTGAGAAAAAGGCATTATAGCTAAGCACACCAGTGCACATCTATAATCCCAGCACTTGGGAGTCTGAGGAAGAAGGACCACAGATTTTAAGACCAGCTTAAACTACATGGGGAGATGTTGTCTCAATAACCAACCTGGTCCCCTCAAAAAACTCAGAAAAAAAAAAAAAAAAGAAGGAAGAGGAGGAGAAGGAGAGAAAGAAAAAGGCATTCTGAATTACTTTCCTGTGAGTTTGTTTTTATAATCCCACCTTCTAGCTGAGTGTGGGGGTCCATGCCTATAATCCCAGGACTCTGGGAGGCTGAGGCAGAAGGACTGTGAGTTCAAGCCCAGTTTGTACAACTTAATGACAGAGCAAGACCCTGGCTCAAAACCAAAATAAAAAGGGGCTGAGGATATGGCTCAGTGTGAAGGCACTGGGCTCAGTTCCCAGTACCACCATAAAATAAGACAAAACAAAACAAAACACCCCACCTGCTAAAAGATGCAGCCCTAAAAAAGGATCAGGACTGTTTCACAATTCCAAGAGAACTTACTTAAATATAGTCACAAATACCGCAGTTCTCCAGCTCCAGCGCCAGCCGTACCGAAGGAAGCCGCGTGTGGCAGCACGATGCGCACTGTGCTGAAGTGAACAGAAACACCGTGAGCTTCCAGGACGCGGGCGGGCACTGCTTTTATCACAAAACCGCATGCAAGAATGTCCGCTCTAAGTTAGTCAGATGCACCAGTACACAAAACAATGGGAAATCTGTAAACACAGAATAATGGAAACTCTAAAGCTGTTCTTTAAGTATTGAGGTCTAGGCAAAAAAGAAACTAAGAACTGCCATTGTCAACCAGGTAATCCATCAAGTATCTTAAGAGAATCTGAGGTAACCTCTATGACAAACAGGACGTATTTTTCATATTCAAGAAATACGGGGGAAAAGAAAACCAAAGAGCATCTATTTAGTAAATGCTAAATTAAAGGGAAAAGATTAAAGTAACACAGATGTGCAGCAAAGAGAAAGAAAACAGAAATACTGACCACCTTTTATGTTTAAAGTTGTTTTAATATAGTGCTTCATTTACAACGCTGTTTTCAGGAAGGTCTTACAGTTTGCACTAAACCTTAGGAGACAGTTTATCACCAGCATTACCCAGAGGGTAAGGAATAAAATCAGAAGTGGAAGGGAAGCTGCATTCCACTGACTACCTGCACCAGCCCATCACAGACCAAGTCTGGTAGAAGATCATCGGGTACAGTCTGAATTTATAAAGGCGTGAGAGAAACCTTGTGTATATCTTGACCTTGGGCAAGTCAAAACTTCTCTGAGGTATGTATGTACACTCACGGTGTTCAATAAACAGACACTGACACAGACGTGTGGGAATACCATGTAAGGTGCTTACACACATACACACACACACACACACACACACACACCCCTTACTGTTTCGGCCAAGGGTCTATAAACAATAATATCGTGGTAGAAAGGTGCATACATAAGACTCAGATCTTAGTTTCTAAATACCAGTCTCCACTGAAAGAAAGCAGAGGTCTCTGGAGAAATGGCTCGTTCCAGGACCAGCACGGGGGAGGATAAAACACGAGCCAGGAACATATTACTGTGCCTGAAAATAAAGACGTGCTCAGAGAAGGAAGGAGATGTGTCAAGGACACGGGAGCCAATTTGGTAACCAAAATAAATGACAACAGATTACAGGCCTATAGAATAAAACAGGAAACCCTAAGTACATACGAATATAAGTAAATTATAAACACAGTTATGTGCTACATAGGAAGACTTCAAAGACCAAGCTGCACATGGTGCTACACACCTGCAGTCTCAGCACTGTGACAGGCTGAAGCAAAGTGATTATAAATTCCAGCCCAACCAGGGCACAACCTAGTGACACTGCCTCAAGATACAAAAGGAGGCTGAAGTGTAGCCCCATATTCCCACTCATAAGAAAAAAAGACCACAGATACAATGAACAGCCGTAAGACAACACCACCCTGTGACCGTACAGCAGTGCCAGCTCAACAAAGTATATTCTGTGATATTCACACATTAACAACACTGACAATACAGTCCTCAGAATGGTCTCTATTATTATGCATGACTAAAAATAAAGGGATACACAGACAAATGTAGAGGTAGAGGAAGAACACTGTGTTAGAGGCGAGTATTAACCAGAAAACAGACAATGTGAGAATTAGAAAATGGCCATCTGGCAACCACCACGTAATAACTATTTCAAGCCAGAATCATCACTTCATGCTGAGATTTGATGAAAACCAGGGTACCTGTATAATTTCAAAGGATCTAATAAGAACTCATAACACACTTACCATCAGAAAGGGAAGAACAGTAATTTTTCAGCAGCTACACCTGGTAGATAACACCTTAGCTAAGTGACTAAAGTAAACATCAGCAGTAAAATGATAGGTATATAGTCTATATTTTTGATGCAATGTACTAAGAGGTATACAATATCAATTCTAGGCTATACCTGCCAAAAACACAGCCTGAATTTTATAAGAAATCATCACCAAATCATAATCAAAACTGTCAAGCTCAGAAAAGAAAAAGACAAGAGAAACCGCTTCAGACTAAGGAGCCTGAGAGGTAAATTCAACATTTAATTCACTATTAGATCCTAGGCCAGAAAAAAATTTTTTGTTTAATGTATTTTAAAGTAAATGAGCCAGAGCTGGGGATTTAGCTCACTTGCATAAGCACCTGCCTGGCAAGCAGGAGGTCCTGAGTTTGATCCCTGATACCAAAAAAAAAAAGTAAATGAGATGGGCATGGTGGCTCCTGCCTATAATCCCAGCACTTGGGAGGCTGCTGGGCTACAACATGAGCTCAGGGTCAGCCTGAACTGCATAGTGAGCCACTGCCTCAAAAGACCAACAAATAAAAGTAAATGAGTAAGTGGAAGAACCTGTGAATCTATGTAAGGTCTGCAGATAACAGTACTCTGCCAGGGTTAATTTCTTGCCCTGCAGCCACAGTGGTGAGCTCACACATGCCACCTTTGAAGACAAATGTGTGACAAGCTTAGGCACTTTACACTGGTACTCCCACTGTTATTAAACACAGACTGGGACTTTCTACAGTCCTCTGAAACCACAACCTAAGTAATTATGTATAGCTGTGAAGACAGCATTGTCTCTGTAACGCTCTTAGCCCATCAGTACTTACCACGGCATCAAACCGGTTATGATAAATCTCCGCTTGGCTCTGCTCAATATAGCGCTGCTTGGCGTGAATAAAAGCTGGGATGCCCCCATACGCCCAGCCGATGATGCCTGCTGAAGCTGCTGCCTTATAGATATCCTCAAGCTCCCGTGAAATTCTCTGATGCTCACTAAAACATCAAAAACACAATGTGGTTGGGACATTATCCAAAGCACTACGGTCAGAATTACTCCCAATGCCAATACTACATTTTACCTTATGAGCAAAACTAACTAAATTCTTTAATAAACAGTGCTGTTATATTAATAGTAGTACAAATCCAATGTCTGGTATTAGAAAGCAGGGGAGATTATGAACAGGGGGACAACGGGGCTTTTGTGACACTGGCTGTTAACAATCTCAGGAGCTGATGACATAGCCATGTTCCGTTTGTGAAAATGCATAAGGAAAAAATTTATTAGTGGATTTACCTACATTTCCCTCGATGCATGTTATATTCAAAGAGGGTTTTTTGTTTGTTTTAGGTGTTTTTATTCTTTTTTTTTTTAATATTTTTGAGACACAGTCTCATTATGCAGTTCAGGCTGGGCTCAAGCTTATTTTGTAGTCCAAGCTGGCCTCAAATTCTCAGTCACACACCAGGCCTCAGCCTTTCTCAGCCTTCCTCATATTGGGAGTGCTGGGATTGACAGGCATGTGTCACCATGCCTGGTTTTAGGTGCTTTTAAGAGTAAGGTGTATAGGGGCTGGGGATTTAGCTCAGCGGCATAAGCTCCTGCTTTGCAAGCAGGCAGTCGTGAGTTCGATCCCTGGTACCGAAAAAGACAAAGAGTAAGGTGTGGTGGTGCATGCCTATACTGCCAGCACTCTGGAAGGCTGAGGCAGGAGGATCAAAAGTCTAAACCCAGCCTGTATAATTTAGGACCGCTCAGTCTCAAAATGTGAGGGAAAAAAAGGCTTGGGATGATGCTCAGTACAAAGGACCTACATTCAACTCCCAGCACTATTTATACAAGTAAATAAACACACTTTTATTTTTAAAACTATCACAACCCTAGGAGCAAAGAGAATCTGTGGGTTGAATGAAGAAATTAGATTCTTGAAAGCTGGGCATGGTGGCATACTCAGGTAATCCCAACACTTGGGAGGCTGAGGCAGGAGAATCGTTTACAAGTTCAAGACCAGCCTGAGCTATAAAGTGAGCCCAAGGCCAGCCTGAACTGCATAGCACGATTATCTCAAAAAGACAAAAAAAAAATGAAAAGAAATCATATTCTCTTTTTGAATGTTAACCTGAGGAAATTATACAAACTCATGAGAGGTTAGCACAACATATGGAAGAATGAAAACATGGATGTACAACATGGTCAAACCCTATTTACTAATAATCACTTTGAAAGCTCACTGTGCAGTGAGCAATACAGGTCAATCAAACATAAGGAAAAACTACTACGTGATTCAATTTATCACTCTCAAATGCATACGAAATCAGAACTGTTGCCAGGCATGGAGGTGCATTTCTGAAATCCAGCACTCAGAAGGCAAAAGGCTGAGGATTCCCTCAAATTGCAGGGCAGCCTGATCTATATGGTAAGACTATCTTGGGGCTGGGGATTTAGCTCAGTGGCTTAAGCGCCTGCCTGGCAATCATGAGGTTGTGAGTTCAATCCTCGGCACCAAAAAAAAAAAAGACTCTATCTCAAGAAGTCAAAAAAAAAAAAAAAAAGAAAGAAAGAAAGAACAAATGAAAAAAAAAAAGAAACCAGGACTGTTAATGGAGGTTCCAAAATGTCCTCCTCCAATTGTTCTAATAGCTAACTTTTTAACTTAATTGATTTTTGCAGTACTAGGAACTGGGCCCAAGGAGCACTAAACTACATTCCCAGCCTATTCCCATTTTAAGATAAGATATAATCTGTCCAGGAGGGCCTCAAATTTTGTGATCCTCAGTCTCCCTCACAACTAGGATTACAAATGTGTGCTATCATTCTGGGATTACAAGTGTAGGCCACCATGCCTGGCAAGGTTTCTAAATATTAAATTACTATAAATGATGGCTCTCCTAAATAAATACACTACTAAATGTTATCTACCTTGCTTTTTTCAGAGACTGTGCAAACACTTAACTAATTTTATTTTTCGATAACCACAATATTTGAGATATCAGAATTAGTGGGTTCTTTGGTTTTGTTTTGTGGTACTGAGACTAGTATTTAAGGCCTTGCACATGCTAAGAAAGCATTATACCTCTAAGAATATCTCAGTGCTAGTGAGCCTTTTCATTCCTACATCTAGGGCCAAGGATTTAGCTCAGCGGCATAAGCGCCTGCCTTGCAAGTGTGAGGTCATGAGTTCGATCCCCAGTACCAAAAAAAAAAAAAGTTGTAATTCCTACATCTACAGAGAAAAAAATTAAATAAAATCTCTTACAAAATTGTCTTATATATAGGACAGTGAGAAAACTGCCATTGGGCAAGGTGACACATACCTGTAATGGCAGCACTGGGAAGGCTGCAGCAGGAGGATCACCAAGAGTTCAAGGCCAGCCTGGGATACACAGTGAATTCAAGGTCAGCATGGGCTACATAGCAAGACCCTGCCTCAAAAAAAAAAAAAAGCCATAATTGAATCTTTTATATTTTATTTTTTACAGTGAATAAGTGAATGCGATTTATGTAAAAACTGTTCTATAAGCAGGCGGTCATGAGTTTGATCCCCGGTACCGATAAAAAGAAAAAAAAAAAAAGTGTAAAAAACTGTTCCATAGCAAAACTTGGAAAAAGAAAAATGTAAAAGAACTTAAGAAGTCAGTAGATATACATGCATTGCTTTTTTATTGTCTGAAAACATCTATGATAGAGATAATATTTACCTATATTTTTTTGGTTTTGGTTTTTTGAAACAGGATCTCACTATGCAGTTAGGTTGGCCTTGAACTCCTGGTGATCCTGGTGCTGGGATTACAGTGGGCATGCACCACACCTGGCCCTGCATTTTTATCAACTCGAGAACACAGGCTCTGAGAAGTTACACAGTTGGTCCAAAACACTAACGAATGGTATAGAAAAGAGCAGGCCACATAGTAGAGTGGACCTACATTTAAGTAACTGAGGTTGTAGTCCTGGTTCTGTCTCCCACTACCAACCACCTGCAGCCAGGTCATAATCTGTCTCTCAGTTACCACCTCCGCACTCTGAGGTTTATAAGGTCAAGCAAACAACCCTCTTGTTGCTCTAGGCTACACAATCTTTCATGAACACATCCACAATTCAATGCACCTGAGAAATCTGCCCCGTATCTTTTTGTTGGTGGTGGTGGGAATACTGGCAAACGAAGACAGGGATATTGTATTGCTAAGCAACATTCCCAGCTTTTTCCATTTTTTGAGACAGAGTCTCACTAAAATGCCCAGGTGGCCTAGAATTCGGGGATTCTCCTGCCTCTTAGTCCTGAGGAGCTGGGATTACAGGCATGTGCCCCCTGTTCTAATAGCTTTAAAAAAAAAAAAACAATGAAGCCTAAGTCGGCCAGCACCCTTGTCCTATCTTAACTACTTGGATACCATCCTGTGATCTTCAATAAACCTAGCTACTTACTACGAGATGAATACTCACTACGAGATGTACGATGTGCAATTCTTGCCTTGCTGTACACAAGAACTTGGACTATATCACTCATTCTACTGTAACAACTTGACACCAGGATAGTACAGTAAATTAATTTATGAAAAGGCAAATTTTTCACCAGCAATTAATAAATGAAGGAATTAAACATTCTGAGTTTTTACTAAATAAAATGGATTCATTTTAAAAGGATTCTTATTCATTCTGAATATCTTTTAAATTCCAACTTTCTTCTATAAAATGAAAAACAGTGGTGTAGCTCTGATAGAATGCTTTGCCTAGCATGTGACACCCTGGGTTTGATCTCAAAAAATAGACAAGTCGCTGTTGTTTTTAATTCCTTATTGGACATAATTAAATATTGCTAACTATGTCTGCCCTCCTCAGTCTTCATTCTGGTAAAACAAGTGGTCACAAAACGCCGAGGTTTGGGGTCGACCTGAAAAACCAAGCACACTGTAATGGATTTCTACAGCCCGGAGTTTCAGTGGTCTCTGCACAACAGTTACTAGTTTGGGCCAGCTTTTCCCATCTGTAAAACCCTAAGTATCCCTAAGAGCTCTGATTTGCAGTGATTCTTATCTTCACCCCTCAAAAAACCTGCCTGTCAACCAACTAGCAATTGGCAAGGTCAGGATACAAGGTGGGGCGCTAATCTCAGAACCCCAAACTCGCTTAAAAGTAAACCCCGTCCCCGCGGGCCCTCCGCCCTCCCGCAGACCCTCAGCGCTTTTACTCTCGGACAAACAGCTCGCGGAGGCGGTCCCACCCGGATTCCGCAGGGCGAGGCTCTGGGATATAGTAAGGCAGCTGCTGACTCATCCCGTCGGCCTCCGAACCCCCAGCCCCAGCTCCGGCAGCGGAGACCCGAGGGAAGGGAGCGAGCGTCTGGAGGAGGCTGCGCGGCGCCGACGGCGGTGGCTCCATGGCCCCTCCCGCCTGCGGATGGAAGCGCTCAGGTGGCCGAGGAGAGTGGCGACAACGGCGCGAGTGAGTGAGCACAAGTGCAGAAGCCCCGCCGATCTGCGGATAGATCCGCCGTCCCAGCGACAGACGCCCTTGAAGCCCACGTTGGGTCGGCCCCGGACACGAGGCCGAGAGCCCCGCCCCAGTCAGGGCAAAAGCAAAAGGGCAGAGCAAGCACTTCCGGCTAGGGCCAGCCACGCCCCGGAAGTGCCTGGACCGGCACGTTTTTCCGCTGCTGGTCTCTGGCTCTTTGGCTCTGAAGGATGTCGGGTCTGGGCTGCTTCCGTCATCCTGAATTTATCAGTGTCAAGTAAGTTAATGTACTGAAGATGCTGGAAATTCCACGTAGAAAAAGAAAGTGCAGCATTTGAGTCAAATGTTGTACCAAAAGAATTAGCGCAGAAACTAACCCAATTCCCTGGAAACCCATTGGGCTAGGAACAGGCCCATAATTTGAAGAACACTTTTTAAATCAGCTTTGAGCATTCTTAACAAAATAATTTTATTCTCTTTAATTCATATGCCTTCTGTTTCTTAGAAGGCAGGAGAATTTCTGGAATTTCTATGACGTATTCGGTACTCTTAGTATTAACTTATGGTCACTACTGAATAAGCTTGCTAGTGTTTCGAGGTCACGTTTTGGTTAAAACACACTTATCCACAGTTTTCCAACTGGTTTGTGTAACTTAATCCTTGTTAGTCACCACATTGCCTAATTCTTTTAGCTAATCCCTTCACCGTTATCCCTGTTATAGTTCTGAATCACGACTCATTAGTAACAATACAGTACACAATTCTGGGACTCGATGGCTCTACATTCTATAGATAAAGCCCAGAGCAGTGCCCAACTAGAGTATCTATCAACACTTACTATATTGCGGCATAATTTACTGTTCAATGATCTGTGAGGCTAGAAGCCACATATATTTCTGTCTCTAGAACCTACCAGTGTGCAACACAAAGCAAGTGTTCAGTAAATGCTTGTTGAATCGCTGGGTGTGGTGGTGCACACCTCTTATCCCACTGTTCTGGCAGCTGAGTTAAGAGGATCACAAATTTGGGCCCAGCCCAGCAACTTAGCGATTTAGGCCGTTTTAAAAATTTGTAAAGGGATGGGAGTGGTTGGGGATGTAGTTCAGTATGAAATCTCTAGGTTCAATCTAAAATACTACTAAAAAATAAAAATTGTTGTAAGAATTCAGAAGATCCCCTCTGGTTTGCTCACTATCCTGCATTAGGTAGAAGTGGGCACCAGGGCAATATCCTATGGCTGGAAAGTCCAAGAATGTCCATCTAGCCCACATGAAGTAGTTAAGTGCTTAAAATGCTTAAGAGGCCCTCAGAATGATTCTAGGATTGGGAGCTGGGGATTTAGCTCAGCGGCATAAGGCCTGCCTTACAAGTGTGTGGTCGTGAGTTCAATCCCTGGTACTGATAAAAAAATGATTATGGGATAAAAGAGGAGTTACCATAGAAGGGTGGAGGTTAGGCAGGTACTGTGGAATTATTTGCATATAATTCATATATCCCCAGGACCCTCTAGCCTTAGACACAAGTATCCTCATAGTAACAGGCACATTTCACTAAGTCTATAGCTGCTTTCTCCTCTGGGTTAATGGAGACTCATTTGTAATCCCACTTAGTTCCTCAAGAGACTTCCTCACTCCCTTTTTTCTTCTGAGCAGTCTCAGTATGTAGTTTAGGTTGGTCTTGAACTGTGCAGCCCAGACTGGCCTCAAACTCGTGGTGATCCTCTTTCCTCGGCCTCCTGAAGGCTGGGATTATAGGTGCACACTACCACTCCTGGCTTTAGCTCAGACTCCGTCACCGACACACATTTCCTACTTCCATGAGCCATCCAGCCTTACCTTTTTTACCATTAGGGATAATTTCTCCTCCTCTGTGTCTGATATTTTTAGGATTTAATTAGACCAATATGTGACAATACAGTTCTCATATCCTCAGGACGTGTATTTGCCAGTAGGGTAAATGCATCAGGGATGATTCCAGCAGTCACCACAGTGTGCCTAGAACCATCATTCCACCCCACCCTGTTGAGTTCTGCTTTTAAAACTCAAGAGCTGCCTCTTCTATAGTTAATTTCCATGAGAGACAGTAGGTTTGCTCTCTGCCAAATTCACTAAGTGTAGTCCTTGCTACATATACGGTATTACATTTGTTTATATTATATGCAACAGAAACTTTTCCATTAGTAGAATCAATCTTTGAGGAAGAAAGGGTAAGTTTGGGATTAAGCAAGTAATGATGACAAAACCCTTCAAAAGTTTTAGAGATACAAATTATTTTCAAAAATATATACTTTACATATTACATACCATCCTCATACCATCTACACTGAGGTAAACAGGTAAGTATATAATCTGAGCAATGAGGTAAACAGATAAGTATATAATCTGAGCAACTTCTGCATTTAAAGACAAAGATTCCTGATTGACTCTTTGAACAGCAAGTGAGGATTTGCACTGATTATCCACTTCCTTGTTGAAACCAATACCAAGAAAATCTACAAAGAGGATCCTGGTAAGCCAACTGTCTTCATCCATTCTACTATCCATCCAAAAGTTCTTTAGTATTTACTCTGTGTGAGGCACTATGTTGGATAATGAAGACATAAAAGTGAGGAACTAATGATTCTCATCCATTGCTAAGCTTGCAGAATAGGAAAAACAATCAAATAACTACAGTGTACTATCATGAAATACTGGCACAAGGAAGGTATTATGGTAGCCTCTAACTACCCAGAATGAAAGAAACAATTCAGAGGTGATATTTAATCTGCAACCTGAAGCAAAATGGGAAACATCCCTAGGGAAATGAAGCTTTGGTTCCTAAAGAAGAACAAATTTTGTCCCTATTTTGGAGAAAGCAAAATTAAAACATGGAAGAAAGAATGGTAATTCATGGTCCCTTATAGTTCCAAGGCAAAACCTCAACATACCAAAACTGGACTGCCTTTTGATTACACTTACTGTACCCACTAAGTGGGCCCATATAAACTGTTAGCACTCAAGCAGAAAAGTCAACTTTAAATGCCTGCCATACTGCATGCAATTATCAGTATCAGTATCTCTAAAGTCCTTAAACTTAAAAAACCAAACACCTTTCTGACAAATGCAACAAAATCTGATTTTATGTGACTGAGTCTTACAGTTACTAATTTTGAAAGTAGTTAACACTGAACAATTCTCAAGAGCCAAAGGAAAAAGAGTCAATTTTTCTGTAGAAGTTTTGAACTTAAGGGACAAGAATGGTTCTAAGTCATCGGACTAGAGTTTTAATCTAAACATGTTTCTTTGTTTTTTACTGTTAGAACTTCTGATAGAGTAAATTACTATCCAAATGTCACTTTTAAAACAGGGCGCAAAGGGAAATGGAAACAACAATTAGACAAGTATATATAAATAAATGTAAAAACTGAATGTTCTAAATTACCAGCTTAAGCACCTGAAGACTCCTTGTGATCCCTGCACACCAGCAATAGCCTTTTCTACTACTAAGAAAAAATATTAAGATGTGCAAAGGGTGAGGAAGAAGTTAAGAACTTAAGCAGTTCTCCTAGAGTTAAGACCACTTCCTAAATTTATTAATGTTTTTGTCTTTTTGTCTTTTGTTTTTGTTTTTTTGTCCTTCAAAGAAACAACAAAAAGAAGGGCATGAAGGCACAGAACAGGAACTTGAAATCCAACTGCAATAATTACTCATGCAATTGGCCGTTTCCATGTGGCACTATAGAAACCTCCTGAATACCAGAGGTTATGCTTTTACAAAGAGAACTCTATGGCACTGTGTGACAGTTAATGCTTATCCCTTTCAGGAAATGAGGCCCAGATATTTTTCTTAAATCCCATAGAATTTCTACATTAAACTAGAGAAACAGAGATGAAGCCTAGAATAACAAGAATTGTGGCAATGAGTGGTACTAGATCAGAGTGATGGAGCAAAAGGCATCATTACATGGACACAATTGATTTCAAAGTGATGAATATACACACATAGCTGATCTGAGGCACAGGCTGTGACTTGTCTTTAGAAAATTAAGGTAAAATCCAGTAGAAAATCACATCTTATGATTTCTGGTCCTTATTCAGCCCAAGTAGGGGTGCTTCATATCCGAGTATCACACACGTTTTAGATCTTCCTTAAGACTTGCTGTGGCTGCAGCATGAAGAAAACCAGATGTCTGGCTTGATGACGTGTGTTCAGGGTACAGGTGCCATGCTCATGGGAAGCTTTTCTCCCAGGATAGCTGATCTGCTGCCATACAGAGGACTCTGGTCCTATGAGTGCTACAGTTCAGTTTTCAACATTTTGGGAATAATCTGATCATAGCCTTTCCTCCTTGTCACATTATAGGACAGGAATTTAGAGTATTCAGTCAGGAGGTTCTCCCAGTAACAGGTGACATCTTCCATCTGCAAGTGGTTTATAATAAACTGGCTTCCCCTAGAGAAAAGATTAACATGAATATTTTAAAGCACAGAACTTAATAAATAGCTTACATCTGAGTCAGCTGCATTATACCAAGCCCTTTTCAGAATGCTTATTCCTGAATTGACTCTTTCAATTCTCAGAACAAAGCCCTATACCATCATAATTATATACAGGCATTTAGCGATAGAACTTAACATCTTTCTCTTAAACACATTATCAGCCAGTGATCCTCAAAAGTACTTAATTACCTCAAGAATCCAGTCTATTTTGATACAGCTTGGGATACAAGTGAATGCACACATGTTCTTCACCCAGACAGTTACATTTCTGAATTATCTCTATACCATGAGACTAAAGTATGAATGGTAACAATCAGCATTCAGATAACTTTAGCTAGGCAAATGGGGGTGGCAAACTGCATGTAGTGGTGCACTCGGGAGACTGGGGCACCAGGACTGCCACAAGTTTGAGGCACAGTGAGTTTGAGGCGAGCCTGGATTAGATAGTAAGACCCTGTCTCAACAAAAACAAAGAAGCAGGGGTGGGCACAGGGTAACGAAGTAGAAAAAGGAAAAATGAACAGAGCTTACCTTTCAGCAATTTCCTGAGCGATATCATCATTTGCTTTTACAAACTGCAACAGTTCCCTAAAATGCAAAGAAGTATTAGACCCTGAGATGTAGGCTAAACTCACTAATAATACTAAGTTAGAAAGGAAAGACCATTCATTGATCTTTAGACATGTGGATGGTACATTATTTCTTTAAGGTAAAGACACCATGTGCTTGTAGGAACAAAATAATAACAAGAACATAAGCTTAGGCCAGGAGGCATGGTGACACATGCCTGCAATCCCAGTACTCTGGAGGCTGAGGCAGGAGGACTGCAAGTTTGAGCCTAGCAATTACAGGTTTTGGACATATTTGAGAAAAAATAGAAATATTCAATGATACACTAAATCTCAAGAGTGAAAAACATTTCTACATATCTCCAAATTCTTTTTTTTTTTCTTTTGGTTTTCTGAGACAGGGTCTCACTATAGTTCAGGCTGGCCTTAACCTTGAACTCTTAGCAATCCCTTTGCCTCAGACTCTCAAGTACTGAGATTACAAGCCTGCATTACCATGTGTGGACTCCGACTCCAGATTCTTGTGCTGGACCCCAGAAGAGAGAACTAGGCTCATATATGTGGCCCTTGTCTGAATCTTTTCCTATGTCTTCCCATCATGAAACAAAATGTAAGCTTTACTTGGGTAAGTTTCATGTTAGAGCTGAAATCCCACCTGATAATATAACAGGAGGAAACATTCCTGCCTTTAGTCTTTGAGGGATTAGAGCCCTTTTTACTTTATACTGTCTGAATGTTACACTGGAACCAGCGTTAAAACACTCTTTCGAATTAAATCCCACATACAGCTTGTATGGATAAGAATACATCGCTATACAATGTCAAACCAAGTAAGCAGGACTAAAGCTTTCACTGGAAAATATAATCAAAAGTAAATGGCTGGACTTTGCAGTCAATTGCAGTCATTTAAGACTCAACTGAAGGGCAAGTACTTACTGGACATTGGAGAGATCTGTTTTGACTGGGATGTAGTGAACCCAGGGCTTGAGCTTTGGATAGAAGAATTCTAGCCACTCATTGCCAACATGAAAAACAAGTGAACCACACAGGAAGAGGTGTTTGAACCGGAAACTTGCAGCTACGCCCCGAAAATTAAACAGATACCTGGAAAAAAAGAGCCAAATACATGTGTTTACTCTATCCCTATTGTCACCAATATAATCTTTCTTCTTACTCCCTCCTCTTGTGACTCCTCTCCCGCCTTCTCATTTTCAGTTTTGCGGGACACATCTGTATGCCTCTGTGGGGTCTCCATAAACTTCCAGGGCTGGGGCTGTAGGTTGCTCTGGAAGTGTCAGGTAAAAAACAAGAGAGACACTTTCTCTATACAGAACTATGTAAGTTCAAAAGCTTGGTGATGGGGGAAAAGGGTACAAAGCTCAAAAGGAAATTATCATAGACTGTGGCGAATTCGGGACATACCTGAGAAAAAACAGAAATGTTCAATGATGCACATTAAAAACTGAGTGAAAAATAAAATTCATAGGCTTAGCTATCTATACCTAGTAACTGTTAATAGCCTCCCAGTCTTGTTTTTCCGCTAACATAGCCCATCTGGTCAAGGACATCCCTTTTCCTGGACATCACCTTCTTCTCCTGAAGTGAAGGGGGAATAGACGTAACCTCATCAATCTTCAAAAAAATGCTTCTTGGAAAAAAGGCTACGTTAGCCAGATGCACTGTCATACACCTGTAATCCCAGCATTCAGGAGGACTGACATGAGCCTGGGCTTAACTACACAGTGAGACTGGGTCATGGATTCCTCCCACAAAATAAGAACTTAGGAAAAAGTAACATTTTCTTCTCCACATTTCTCACGCACCTCTCTCCAAATAGAGCTGCTCTTAGTCTACAGTTCTGTGTATGTAATCAGCATTCTTATTTCTGAATCCCCTCATCATCTCTCTCTCTGCCTGTGTTTATGTTTAACAGATTCTGAATCCTGGCATATATATATATATATCCATGTATCATATACATGCTGAGGATCAAACCAAGACCTTAAACATGCTAAACACATGCTTGTACCCCTGAACCACATTTCCCAGCCCCTCATTATATGAACCTGACAAATATTTAGCGTCATGTCAACTTGTGGATGGTTGGTATGTGGAAAAGGATAACCCCAGTACTTTAATAAATAGCAAGCTCTCCAAAAGCAGGGAACCTGTTTCATACTTCTCTACAGTTCCCACCGCACTCAGTTTGTACAGAGGGCCGCCTCCATAAAAGTCAGCTAAATGATTAAGAATGCTACATCAGGGGCTGGGGATTTAGTTCAGCGGCATAAGCACCTGCCTTGTAAGCAGGCAGTCGGGAGTTCGATCCCTGGTACCGATAAAAAGGAAAAAGACAAAAAAAAAAAGAATGCTACATCAAAAAAACAAACAAAAAAGAATGCTGGATCTTGGTATTTAAGTTCTCATCCACAGCAAGGCTATTTCAGAAGCAATACGGAAACAAGGAGTCAGGAGCTCTAGGAGTCATACTTGTATTTGCAGTGATCCACAAGATGGACATCTTTAGCTGCTGGTTTTCCCAAGGTATCCTTTAAGTGAAAAAGTCATCAGTATTAGCAGTGGTAGCATTATGGGCAACCCATGCGTAGCAAGCACTGTTAAACTTTTCATCAGCATAAACTCGTTTTTGCCTCATGACAAACATACTCAGGGGACATTATTATTCTCATTAAACAGATGAGAAGTCAAGGCTTTCAAAAGCTCAGAAACTTGCTCAGGGTCATGTGACACTAGGATTTCAAAGCAGGTGTGTCTGATTGGAATTTGAGCTCCCCTGAAGCTATGTTGCTACATGCTTTGAACTCAAGAGTCAACCTGCAGCCCACTTCACTGTGGGTAATTATGCACACAGCACTGGCTGGCTGGCCTTAGGAAGGGAGCCCATACACAAATTTTCTTGGCATAGAAGGCAGTTTAAAAAAAAAAACTGAAACCATTACCAACATTTACAGGTGCTCTCTTGTTTCTTGAAAAAATCTAGATTTCTAATTTTTCTTGAAGAAAACAAAATATAACACAAAGCAAGATCTGAAAACTATTCCCCTTTGGCAGCAACCAGCTGCAGCTCTTAGTGGTCTCTCTGGCTCACTCTTTGAGTTCACCTGCTGGCACCTGGGGGCACTGGACTGAAACTCCACATCCATCCCACCCTCTTTAGTGGATAGGGAGCTTGATGAGGGCACTGCACCTAACAACTTGTATGCTAAATGCATTTTTTCATACTTTTACTGAACAGTTCCTTAAACTCATTTGCTCAAAACTGTATCAAATGATACTTATTAGATACTTTTCTCTCCCAAGAAGTTCAAACCTTTTTTATAGCATCCTCATATGGCATATGGAAATTTCAGGTGAGGAAATTTAGGGCTCTAAGTTCATTAAGACAGTAAGTCATAGATTTAACACATTCACAATGAGGCACTAATTTGTACGTCTTGCTGTAAAGTGGCTTGAACCATACAGGACTGGCCCATTAAGAGGCTTGAACTTTGGTGGCACAAACTGATATGAACATTCTTATTGGTCTTTTTACTAATAAAATATAAAATTCCACCCAATGTGGTACCGCTGGTCATTCAAGCTGGTGGGAATGCAATCAGAGGACAGAGATAGACTCTAGATTAAAAGAGTCAAATTTTTGGCTTCACCTTGGAATCATTTGGGATGTTTTAAAGAAATGAAGCTGCCTGGGCTTCCAGAGATGGATTTATTTGATTCACTGTTTAAGCTCTCTGGTTTTGTTTATTTTGAACCATTAGTTTAAACCAAGGTTTGGGAAACTATAGCTCACAGGACAAATGCAACCCACCACTTGGCTTTGTAGAACCCAAGGACTGACCATTTTCACATCTTAAAACAAAGCCAAAAAAAATACCTTACATATGGCCTGTGAAAGCTACATGAAATTCAGATTTCACTGATCATAAAGGTTTAATTAAGAAAGAGGCGCGCTCATTTGTTTACCTGTTGCCTATGGCTGCTTTCCCCCTGCCTCAGCGGAGGAGGGTAACTAAGACAGAAACCATATGGCCTGCACAGATGAAGTCTTTACTACCTGGCTTTCCCAGAAAAAGCTTCTGATCTCTGGCTTAAACTTCCAAAGTAGTATAATACCTTACTCGTAATATGGCCAGACAAGCAGTGTGTTTGAAATCGAAAAACTGACATCTGTGCTAATACTGATTGGTAGAACTCGCTCTGTATTCATCTCACCACTGAGGAAACCCAATCAGATTCTACTCGGTGGCAATGTTCTCTGAGCAAGAATGTTCACTGCTGCAGTAGTTCTATTCAGATGTTTGCTGATTACTTTCATAGATTTCCAGGCTTGGTTTTTGGTGTACTCTGCATCAACAAGTTTTGGGTTTTTCCGAGACAGAAGAATGAGAGGATCCCGTTCTGGACTTGTCCTATGAAGGAAACACATGACATATAGCTATGTGGCCTATACTTTAATATTGTTCCCATAGCTGAAAGGTACACAATACCAGCGCTTGGGCAGTGGCTTCCTGTACAAACAGAAAATTCACTGGTTCCTGAATTATCTACACTTCCCATCCCTGAAGGGCACAGTGGGAGCATCCTGGGCACTACAGCACCTGGGTGGTTTGGGCTGTCTACACTGTACCTTCAGGAAGGGGAGTGCTAGGTTTTCTTAGCTGCATCCAGTATCAGAGGGTGTGTTGTTCTGGTCTCTGCAGCTGTATCCCATATAAGGTTCATGTAGTCTTCCCTTTTTAGGAAGGTTCATGTCAGCTCTGTCATCACAGGTATCCATAGCTATGTGGCTAGGTAAATGACCACATAACCATAATTACCAGAATAATGACATGACCTTTGTTGTACATGCTCTATAAAGTCCAGTATAATGTTTAAGATAGAAAATGAAACAAAAACAAAAACTAAATACACTTCAAAATCTGAAGCTGGTAAGTGGAAAAACTCATATGGTCTAAACAGCAGGGGTCCTTGACATACAAAGGGTCACAGATCCCTTGAGACTGAAAAAATGCAACCTTCCCCATTCAATTTCCAGGAGGTCCTAAAACTCCCGCAGACCAGCTATAAACTCCAAATTAAGAATCTGTTATCTCTGGAGCTGGTGATCAGAAAATTTAGGAACAGTAAGTAGTGGGTAAAGGCTCACACAACCTACAGTCCCCTGCCTGAGCTGGTATGCAGCCAACGTAAAAACTGTAAAACTCACTGGGCATGGTGGCTCGTGCCTGTAATCCCAGGATTTGGGAGGCTGAGGCAGGAAGAATTGTGAATTTTAGGCCATCTTGGACTATATAAATGAGTTCAAGGCTAGCCTGTACTACATAATGAGTCCCCGTCTCAAAACCAAACAAAAACAAAACCTGCAAAAGCCTTCTTCCCCCCCACCTAAATCCCCTCCCCTTTTTTCTTCCTAGTACTGGATTGAACCCGAGCTACATCTGCCACCCTTTTTCATTCTTTATTTTGAGACAGGATGTCATTAGGTCTCTAAATCCCTCAGGGTAGGCTAGAACTTGTGCTCTTCTTCCTTAAGCCTCTTCGTGTGCTGGGATTACAGATGTGCACAATCACACCGACCTTCCCCTTCACAAATGGTCTTTGCTGTTCATTTGTCCCACACATACGTACTGTGTATCCACCCGCCAGGCAGACACTGTGCAGCGGGGATACAATCCTGAACAGCAGGGTGTCTCTACTCCCTCTTCATCTCCTTCTCTCTCTCCCCCTCCCTCTCCACGCTCACCAGCCTCCATCTGTCTATTAAGCACAGTCTGGCAGCCACATGGCCACAGGGCTTCAGCATACAGGACAAGGCAGCAGGAGACCTGGGAACAATTCCAAGCAGCAGCAACCAGCAGACTGGCTGCAGCACCAACACGAGCTGCTCGGAGGAAACCGTGAGCTCTGCTTGCCCTCAGGCTCGGGTGCTCTCAACAGCTCCTGGCAGACAGAGCTTCTAAATTTCGGCTCAGTTCACAGTGATTTAGGTGAATCACTGAATTCTGTAGAACAAGATTCTGTGATTCTACACTTATTTCCGAGTTAGCTTTCTCTCTGAACTACAGAGTTTACTGTAGTCTCAAGATTACCTGTATTTTACACACGGCTTGGAAGAATACCTCTGAATACTTCTGTAAAAGATTACAGGAAAATAATCACCTTGATCCCCGAAAGTATGCTGTAGAATTTTTCTTTTCCCATGGCCACTGTGCTGCTGACCTAAAAATATAATTTTGATTAGTTTCTACATATTTTCAACTACGTAAGGATATGTAACCATTTCTGAATATTAGCTCAGGGCTTTTCATTTATTCATGCATTCACCCATTCATTTAATTTATTTGAGACAGGGTCTCACTATGTAATACAAGCTGGTGTTGAACTCACTATGTAGCCCAAGCTATAAGTGATCATGGTGATCCTCCTGCTTCAGCCTCATGAGTGTTGGAATTACCATCATGTGCCACCACACCTGCCCATATTTTTAAATAAACTTGATAAAGCCCCATCAAAAGAACAAATCTGAAGGAACAAATCTGATTCCTTTTGTTATCATTCTGCTGTTCTGGAGGGGCTTGATAGAAATATCTACAAATGAACTGATGCATTAATAAATTAACAACATTAATTTTCTGAAAGATAAGCTCTTAAATTCTAAATGACATGTTTAAAGTAAATGAGCAAGACCCTGTTTCAATGTTTTAAAAACTAAATTAAAAAGGGCTGGGAATACAGCTCACTGTAAAGGTCCTGGATGTTATCAAATCTAAATAAATAACCGAACACTGAAGGCCAATGCAAAAAACCAACTTTAAGAAAAAAAGAAGTCAAAGGCTCCTTCTGGAGGCTTTAGGCAGCATTAGCTGGCACAGTACTACGCACTCAGGAACCTGGACTTCAAGCTTAGGTTTGCTCCTGATCTTGCATGAGTCACTTGACTTTCGCTGGGCTTCACTCCCATAGCCCTGAAATAAATAGCTGACAAAGACGTTTTCCAATCTAGTTATACAAAATATGAAACCTAGTTACATTTTTAAAAAATTTCTCAAATTATGGCTGCTAGAGAAGAGATTGACTTTTATCCACCCACAGGGCTTTAGCTGTTCCTAGGGACTGGGCCCTCTGTGACCCTTCAGGAAGAAGACACTGTATGAAATGACAGCTATTCACAGAAATTTGAATTAACTTCATGCTGTCCTTCTACCCCAGAAAAGACTGACATGAGATATATTCCAAAAGTTAGCACAAGTGCTGATTTTTGGGTTTTCTGGTTCTACTTTTGTTTTAGGGCTTGAACCCTAAAACACCAAGCTACACCTTCCCTACCCCACCAGTCTTCTACCCCTTTTTGACAAACACAAAAATCAATAAATTGCCCAAGCTGGGCTACAATTTGTAATCCTCGGCATCCAAAACACTGAGATTACAGGCATATACCACCATGCATGGCTTAATTAAGCACCAATCATTTCTGTAAAATGCAGCTGGGTACTAAGGAGTCAGTCCACAAATCAAAACATTTCAGTCATAAACAAAGAGGATCTGAAATTAACTTGCACTTAATTTTGTTTTAGAAGGCTGGGGATCTAGCTCAGTGGTGTAAGTGCCTGCCTGGCAAGCGCAAGATCATGAATTTGATCCCTGATACCAAAAAAAAAAATTTTTTTTTTTTTTTGCTTTTAGGTTTTTTGTGTTTTGTTTTGTTTTGTTTTGACAATGTCTTGTGATGTAGCCCACGCTGGCTGGAACTCAGTGATCTTCCCGCCTCAGCCTTCTGAGCCAGTCCACCCAAGCTGAAGTAAACAGGCTCTTAAGATAACTATGAGACCACCATACCCTCTCATCCTTACCTAAAGGACTCAGTTATCAATTATCAGGTAAGTTTATGTTCTTCCAAGGAATTTTCCACCTCCTCCCACAACATAGTCATTCATTTTTCACTTAAAGAATCTTTAAAGTACAAGAAACTTAAAAAATAAACAAAAAGCTCCCGTCATCCTCCCCACCAAGGCACTGCTGACCGTTTAGGAAAGACTCTCTTGCCCTGTTTATGAATATGCCAACACTTTTATACAAGCTCAATATTGCTTAGGCTAGAAACAATTTTCTATCCTTTATTAACTTAAAAGTCAGTTATTTTCAAGTAAACATTGTCCCTATTCTACTCCTTATTTCAAGAAAACTCACCAAATGACAGAACTAAAACCTCCCTATGGGACCTACCTTACCAGATCTTCTCTGAAGAGGTCCCATCGTCCGAGACCCGTAGGATAAATTGGCCAAACAGCAGGTCCCCCTTCCCAAAACGTCCAAGCAGGATACATGATATCATGGTACTCTGATGTCTTCAGCAGAAACAGAAAAGCCATTATCAATAAGTCTTAGAACAGAGCAAGAAAACGCAAACTGCACTCATGACACAAGATATGGACAAAGGCCTTGTTATGATACCAACTTGCCAGATACAGTGCCTCTATTCTGCAATGTCCACAATCTACAGATTAAAACACTAAAGAGGCCCTCAGGTTAAAATCTGCAAGCTCATCAAATCCCAGAACTTAGAACCATATTAAGGCTCAGTGTTTTCAGTTCCCCAAAATTCTGTTTTTCTAGAGGATGTGCACCATTAAGGTTTTTGGTGTACAGAAATAATATGCCCAATGTGAATAATCACAGTGTTCTCTCCTTGTTTAACCACTATTACTCTCGGAGTTTCCACGGCCTTAAGTTATTTTCTAACCTGTTTTTTTTTGGTTTTTGTGTTTTGTTTTGCTTTTTTGTTTGGTTTGTGGTGGTATTGGGGATGGGACTCGGAGCTTTTACACAGAGCAACAACCCCAGACTTGTTTTATTTTGTTATTTTTAGGCAGAGTCTCATTAAGTCACTAAACTGCCCAGGCTGGGCTGGAACTTGCCATCCTCCTGTCTCAGGCTCGCAGAGTACTGAGATTACAGGCTTGCTACACTACAGTCTGCCTAGGGGCTGTCTTGAGAGCAAGAACTCAGAAATATATCTGGCACATAGTAAGTACTCAGTAATTGTTAGGCAGTGTTACCTATTATGTTCACACTGACTGATCAATAAATCCTGGGCCATTCCTTGACACAGGGTCAGTAGCACCAATGAGCAAAATGGAGAGAAAGTGTATCACCATATATCTTTTGAAGAAAATCTGACATCATTTGTTGCTTTTTATATTTACATCTGGCCAGTGACAAACCCTTACCTCTACTATTTTTTCATAATCGCATTTCATGTGATTACATTTGTAATATGCTGTTTGAGTTCTCTCAAACCTTAAGAATATGTGATTCATCAAGGACTTCCCACCTAAAGGGAAGCATATAACTATAAAGTTGACAGGCTAAAATCTCTTGGAAACTAGACATCTCTGATTTTAAAAAGTAAAATGGAAGAAAAAAAATGACAGGAATGTTAGTGTACTGACGGTCATACTCCATTACCCACAGAAACAACAGAATATGTAACAGACACAAGAGCCTTACTGACTTAAATGGGAGTCTATCTGTTCTTCTGGGAGTTTCACAACAAACAATGAGACTAAACCATAGGCAATGCAATACAAATGTGGCCTCATCTCACTTGCAACACAGGAAATAAACAAGTACAGAGAGAAAAGAAACTGTGATAAAGAAAAAGTGGGACTGGGGATTTAGCTCAGTGGCATAAGCACCTGCCTGGCAAGTACAAGGTCATGATTTCGATCCCCAGTACCAGGAAAAAAAAAAAAAGAAGAAGAAATGAAAAAGTGGGAATTAAAGGGCTTTCTGCTTTGGAAAAACCAAATCAGAGATGGTGTTCCTTTCCTTGACATCCATGGAAGGTTTCCCTGAACCTACTCTCCCCCCACAGCACCTTCCATCCACTGGCTTCCAACCCCCCCATCTTCACCCCCAAATGCTTTCATACCTAGTCTCTAGGGAACCAAGGCCCATCCCTGCCAGTATATTATCCATGCACACTGGATACCGACAAGATTTTTACTGTCCCAACATCTCCAAGCCCATAGGTGTGTCCTGGCTTTTCCTGTCCTCCATAGTGACTATCGCAGTATCTGCAGGACACTGGACCAAACAAATGGGGCTATCTAACACCTTCAGGTTCACTTTTAGCCCTGCTGAACCCCTAGAATATAGTGATAGATAGGACTGATGATATTTAGCACTCTCTCATTATAGGACCTCAAAAAATTTTTGTTTTAGGAGCCGAGGATTTAGCTCAGCAGCCTAAGTAAGCGCGCAGTCATGAGTTTGATCCCCAGTTTAAAAAAAAAAAAAAAAAAAATTTTTTTTTTTTTGTTTGCAATGTTGGGGATCAAACTTAGGACACTGCATGTTCTAAGCAAGTATTCTACCACTCTAGCTCTACAAATATTTCTGAGTGAGGGCATTCCCCAACTCCAAGTTCATGACCTTTCTTGGGTGCACCTCACAGGCTGAGGGATCTCAGAGCCCCACCTGAAGGCCCTGCAGGTTCTTCAGGCCTCTTAGTCCTTAGCCATCACCTCTAGTCCTACAGGCACTTAAGCCAACCTGCATTATTTACACATGTTCAGCTCCGTCTCTTTAGTATTAGTACTCAATAACTGACCAAATAGGGACACAGACCCCTTCCTGGACCTCAGGCTCCATCCTCACCCCTACCCACCTCGCTCTACCTCAGGATGATAATCTCTTGCTAATATCCTAGAGGACCACCTGTTGTCGCCCCGTCCACCTGTGACTCTTCATGTACTCACCTTACTGAAGGAGAAGACTGGGATGGCAGGCTCCATCCATTTAGGAATTTGAGGATAATCACGCACATTGATCACCATCTCCATGTCAGGGAGGTGCCCAATAACTTCCAAAATAAAGTGCTCAACACCACTACACCTGCCAACCAGAAAACAGTCACCAGAGCAGTTCCCAAAGGCTCTAGGACAAAGAAGGGTTCCAATTCTGTCTTAAAAGTGACACAAGGGGCCAGGAATTTAGCTCAGCGGCATAAGCGCCTACCTTGCAAATGCGAGATCATGAGTTTGATCCCCACCCCACACCCAAAAACTGTCTAAAAGTGACGCAAGCCAGTGTTCAGCTCATCAGTTTGCTGTAAAGCCTCCTAAAAGCAATGCTTCTAAACCGTTTAGTCCATTTTTCTATAACGTATGAGCTATCATTCATAGCTAAGCTACTCCAGCTTATAACACAATAACATTTCACAAATAAATCATCTCAGCTTAAATTAAAAGGGAGTATTATTAGTACTCTTGCCACTTCTCTGTTCATTTCCAGTTTCTTCTTCCCTGAGGTGGAACAGTTTAATAGGCAAGACACGCATTCTGATAGGAACTGGGAGAGCTAATTTTCCGATTGTGTTCCCTGGGTTTTGCTTCTCAGAAACATACTGCTATAGTTAGGATCTAAAAGGCCCACTGGAAGGCTTATATGTTAATGGCTTTGTCTTCAGTTTGGTGCTATTGGGAAGTGGTAAAAACTTATTTAAGAGGTAAAGCCTACTGGGAGGCTGAGTCACAGGGACTGGCCTTTGAAGGAGACTGTGATGTGACCAACCTACTCCACCATGCGCTCCTGCCATGATATGCTGTCTCACCACAGGCCCACAGTGATGGGGCCCAGAGAACATGGACCAGAATATCTGCACTGACAGCCAGAGTAAATCTGATTTCTAATGAGTCCAAGGATTTTTTTTAATAACAGGAAGCCAGTTAACACAGATACCATCTTTATTTCCAGATCAGTCTTAATAATTTATGAAGAAAATCTTTCCTGTCTGTCTTCAACTTAAATACAGAACACTATTAAAATTAGGTTTGTTTGTTTTGTTTTTTTCTGAGACAGGCTCTCACTACACAATTCAGACTGGCCTTGAGCTCATTTTGCAGCTCAGACTGATCTTGAACTCACAATGATCCTCCTGCCTCAGCCTGAGTATTGTAAAATTAGTTTTCCAAGGCAGAAAAAGTGTTTACATGACATGAGGACTATAACTTTGCTATCTAACTGAACTCACTGGGATGCTCAGGTGTTTTGGTTTTTGAAACAGGCTGTCACTACATAGCACTGGTTGGTCTTGAAATTGTGGCACTCTTCCTGCCTCAGGTTCCCAACTGCTGAGATTACAGGTGTGTGCCACCATACCTGATTTCTAAGGAGTTTTTTTGTTTGTTTGTTTTGGGGGTCTTTTTTGAGAGAGAGTTTCACTATGCAGTTCAGGTTGACCTTGAACTCACTTTGTAGCCTAGGCTAGCCTCGAACTTGCATCAATCATTCTGCCTTAGCCTCCTGAGTCCGAAGATACCTTGAAAGAAAAGAAATACTGATGGTTGGGGCTGGGGATTTAGCTCAGCGGCATAAGCGTCTGCCTTGCAAATGTGCAGTCATGAGTTCGATCCCTGGTACCAATAAAAAACAAAAAAGACAAACAAAAAAAAGAAAGAAAGAAATACTGATGGTTTACCTTATTTCTGCTCCATCCTTTAGGTCCTCACCAGCAACATACAAGGGAAGCATCTAAGGCTTAATCAAAATTTTCTGACGCCATGGAAATCACTGCTTTAACGTACTTTTATTTTATTTATTTATTTTTTTATCTTTTTGAGACAGGGTCTCACTATGCAATTCAAGTTGGCCTTGGGCTCACTTTGTACCCCAGGCTGGTCTTGAACTTGCAATGGGCCTCTCAAATGCTAACATAATTTTATAACCAGGTATACGTCTATAATTCCAGCACTCAGGAGGCTGAGGCAAGAGGATCACAAGTTTGAGGCCAGCCTAAATTACAGTGAGTTCCTATATTAAATTAATTAAAAATTTTATATCTAGGAAGATAACTACAAAATATAAAAGGTTAATAAACATACTCAAGCTATATTAATGATAAAGAATATCAATGAAACTAGATGACAATTTTACCAATCAAATTAGCAAACATCAAAAAGTCTAGGCTGGGTATGGGGGTACACACCTCTAATTGTAGCACTCTGGGAGGCTGAGGCAGGAGGATCTGCAAGTTTCAGCCCAGCTCAGCCCAGGCAACTTAGTAAGTCAGACACTCAAATACCTAGTCTTCTTTTCCTCCTTCAGTCCAGCTCACCTTCCTAGATCTCATCAGCATGCAGCTACTATAGCCAAGGAAGGAAACTAACAAAGGGCGGAGCCACAGTCAGGCCTCATGAAGAAGACAATAGGCTTTGATAGAGGAGTTGGCAAGAAAAATTTCCAGGCAAGGAGACAAACTCGTTATTTCTATATTTTGTATTCCCCTGAAATGTGGAAAGGATTTGCTATTTATTTCTCTCAACTGGCTTCTAAGAGCAGTATCAAGTAAGCCTGCAGGTACAAATATCAGAAGACAAAATCTACCTGTTAAATCTTACCTTGAGGGAAACATGCAGTCATTTTCTCGGTATAATCTGTTCCTAATGACCTGATAGTGGGTCCCTAACTTTCGGCTCACTACTTCTGCCATCATCTTCCTGGAGATGCCACCTCGGAAAGGGGTCAGATCTTCTTCGATGATACTGTGAAGAAATGGGAATCCTTGAGGAAAGCAGACCAAGAAAGTGGTGTGCTTCCTGAGTGCACTGGTGTTCAGTTCTAGAAAGAATGCCAGTCTGAGCTCCATGTATGGAAAGGCGCTTGTCTAGCATGAAGTTCTGGGTTCACCCCCCAGGACGGCCAACGACCTGCAGGGACAAGAGGGCACAGACAGCGAGCGATTCCCCAGAAACACGATGACAAATCAAAAAACATCAAACACAACAAAGCCACAAAACAGTCAGCACCGTCCTATATCTGGATTGCCCCTTCCTAGTCCGATCCAAGTTCCCCCGATATCCATGGTACATCGTGTCCTCCAGCCAACCCTACAGCCTTACCTACATCCCTTTCTATGAACTCCACAGAAGGTACCATTCATGCATCCCAGTGGAATATTCACCTGGAATATATGGAGGACATACACACACACACACACACACACACACACACACACACACACACCCGCCCCAAGAAGCCTACTAGCAGTAGCCAGAAAATAAACCACTCTGTATCTCTTCTAAAGCTCAGGACATAGTAAGTTCTCAAAGTACCATGAGCATCAGGTGAACTTTTCAGGTAGCTGTTTTCACTGTACAGAATTATCTTTGTACCATACCAAGTCTCAGACCTAACTGTATATTTTAAAGACAATCAACAAGAAATTATTAGATTTATTGTTAAGTATTTTCATCCCTTCAACAATATTTATTGAGTACACTCAAGGGCCGGTACCAGGTATATAACACAGACAAAGGCCTGGGTGGGGCAAGGTGATGCACAACTGTAAACCCGGTACTCTGGGAGACTGAGGCAGGAAAAGCTGCAAGTTAAGTCCAGCCCAGCAACACAGTGACTTGGCAAGACGCTGTCTCACCATGAAAAATACAAGATCTGAGGATGTGATTCAGTGTGAAGGACTTGGGTTCAATCCTCAATCTCGGATGGGGGGGGGAGACACAGACCTAGATCTCAGGAAGCTTTCCTTCAGTGAACTAACAGCCAAGCACATGGACTCTGGTCTCACGGGGAGTGGCGCTACTGCGGAGACCTAGGGGCCTCTCATCTTCCAGGGACTCTCCATTCCAAAGAAATAGGAGAACCACCTCAGGGATATTTTCCTCTTTGAAGAAATGCTTGGCTCTAACCGCTGCAAGCAAGGTCTCTCAGCGATCTCAGGGTATTCTTGTGACAAAAATTTAGTCTCAATATTGGACAGAAAAAAAGAACTCACCCACGGTAGCAGCTGCAGTTTTGACTTGAACAGGGTTCATAATTCTCCAAAGCCCTGTTAATTTGGTCAATAAATACCTTCCATTTTGAACCTTCAAAAAGTGAATTAAAGAAGAGTTAACAAAATACCTCCTGAGCATACTCGGTAGCAGCAAGCCGGCAGGCAGCCAGCACCAACAAATGCAAGCTAGTAGAAATCCCCTTCCCATCCCACTAATGGAAACGAAAGCCTGGAAATTTTTTTTTCTGCAAATCGCCAGCGCCTAAATCAAGTCTGCTCCTCTGCCTGAGACATCAAGTGTGTACAACTGGAAATTGGAAATGCAATCTATAAACTCGGCCCCTACCAGGCTAGCGATAAACTAGGCTGTGACGCGGACTGTCACCTTCTATTCAAACTCAGCCCCTGGGAGAGGATCGATTAACAGCCACAGACATTAACCCTCCTTCGTCTCTTCTGGTAACGTGCGCGCGCGCCCCATCCGAGTGGCTGGGGTTCCCACGCCCGCCAGGGTCCCCGCCCGGAGCAGGGCAGCTCCGCATGCAGAGGTCACAGCATCTTCAGGCGCCGGCCGCGCGGGGGGCTGGGGGATGAGAAGCGCCCAGACTGCGGGCGCGGGCCCGCCGGAGCCCACCTGACTCCTTCTGGCGGCCCCGCACGGGGGTTAGGAGTAGCAACAGCAGCCAGAGCAGAAACCGAGAGCTCGCCCCCAGCTCCATCGCCGGCTGATCCACTGTAGTGTCACCCGGGCAGCGCGACGAAAGCGCTGCCCTACTCAAAGATGGCGGCAGAGCGAGCGGACGCCCCACACAAAGATGGCTTCCCTTTACAAAGATGGCCGCGATTCTGCCCAGTCCCGCCCTGTCTTCCCCACCCCACACTGGGGATGGGGTCTTCCTAGGAAACAAGGCAATGAATGCCTTATAATGGTAATTGCTCCCATTCTGTAACATGTTGAAAACGTTTTGTTCTTTGCAGCCGGAACAGTAAAGCTCAGAGAGGGTATTTCTTGCTTCACCATCAGTGGCACGACCAAGGTTTAGCATAGGAACCTAAGCTAGACCTTTCTACAACATCAACTGCTTCTAAGTACTGTACCCTGTAGATTTGTTGAGCGTTTGTACAGCCCTGTTAGACACTGAAGAGTTGCAAATAGCATAGCACGGTACCTTTATGATAGGAATTTATAACAACTTGCGTGACTTAGCTGTAAGAGGAAAATTAGTGGTGTTAAATAAAATTTATGGGGAGCAGTTGGTTTGACTCAATGCCAATAGACCAAACCAAACCAAAATGAAGTCCTAACCTAAGTGCCAGTAAATAGGACAGTTTTCAAAGAAACAGATTAACAGCAACCAATCAGACAGAGCCATCATGATGATATAGGGGAAAGAAACTCCCAACCCACTAGATGTTCAGTAGGAGTTCACCTTCTCTAAAATTAATGAATTTTAGGGACAACGGAGGTTAAGAGCAGAATATATTTGAGAGAGAGAAAGCTTCTGTCAGAGCGATACAAGAGGTGCCAAGTGGGTTGCCTTCTCGAGGAATTCTTATAGAGCAAAACCACCAGGTGAGGTGGGCCTAAGGTGGAGAAAAATGGGAATTCTGCAAGGCAGGCAGGTGTGAGGTGAGACAGAACTATGATCAACCAATAAGATTAAAAGTGTAATTACTCAGGTAAAATTGATTAAATTGAAATCAAATATGGAGGCAAGTCATGTAACAAAGGGAGAGTGAATACACAACAGGGACTTTGGTTGTAGGGAGCTGGGATAGTGATTCCAGGCTTCCTCAAAGAGAACCATGCCTATTTAGAATATCAATCCCTGATGTTCATACTCAGGGTGTGGTTGCATTTGTTTGACCTTTTGTTTTGAGAGCTGGCCCGCAGCCAGAAATGTCTGTCTCTGAGATCACAAGATATTTGGTCTTCTGCCCTGGCTCCTTCAAGGACCTAGCCCTGTTTGACTGCCTATAGTATTTCTCATTAACTCAGCTACCTATAACAATGATAAGGATGTGCCTTCAGTTTTTTGGTTTCTTCTTTGTTGAACCTTTTTCTGTTTGTGTCCCCACCTCTGCTCAGGTGACATTGACATGTGACAGTGAACACTCCTTTGGGAAGAGTCCTTTGCATGATTACTTCTTGTCCCTTTGCCTAGCATTCTAATATTCTCTTCTAAGGAGAAGGGACACCTAAAAATGGGAACTGCTACTTAATCTTTGTTGACTGGTATTATGTATGCCTGTTACCCCAGCTAAGAAGGCTACCCAGGAGAATTGAAGTGGGAGGTCAACCTTAGCAATTTAGTGACAACCTGGCTCAAAAAAGGGCTGGAGTGCTATTATCACAGCACTTCCTGGCTACACTCCACAGTAGGAGGTGAGAAGGGGCAATTTTACATTTACATATACCAGACATTTTGTGACATTCAGATAACATCAGAATGTGCAACCTCCCCTCCTTATTCTTTAATTCTGTGTATCAACTAACACAAAGCATGTCAATCACTTTGAGGTTTAGCTTGCATAAAAGTACTGTCTGTCTAAAGAACTATAGAAATACCTAGCATGGTAGTGCATGCCCTTAATACAAGTGATACAGGAGAACTATAACCCTCCACCTGATACATGTCAGATGTATTGAGTTTGTGCCTACCGAAATTGAATAAATTTTAAAGAACAATGTAGGTTAAGAGTAGGAAAGGTTTACTGAGTGATAGCTCTTGAGAGACAAGAGAGAGGGGTCCCGAGTGAGTTGTTATTGAGGTCCTTTGTTGAGGGTAATTTATTTTTATTTACTTACTTACTTTGTCTTTTGGAGACATGGTCTCACTATGCAGTTCAGGCTGGCCTTTGTAGCTCACTTTGTAGCCCAGGCTGGTCTGGAATTTGCAACAATCCTATCTCAGCCTCCCAAGTGCTGGGATTACAGGAGTGCACCACCATATCCGGGCTCTTTATTGAGGGGGAATTTATATAGCAGAGACACAATGTGGGATGGGTCCTGATGATCTGGTCACCCATGTGGCTGTCTGATACATAATTGTATTTAATGGACTGGGTGATATTAATATAGGAGAATGAAATATTGTTACAGGTAGCTGAGCTAGTTAGAAATATTATAGGCAGTCAGACAAGGCCAGGCCCTCGAAGAAGCTGACACAGAGGACCAGGTGTCTGATGACCTTGGGGGAGACATACACCTCTTGCTGGGGGCCAGATCTTAAGAGAGAAGGCAAAACAAGAGCAACCACACCTAAGTATAAATTTTAGGGATGGGCTGGGGATTTGGCTTAGTGGCATAAATGCTTGCTTGGCAGGCACAAGGCCGTGAGTCGATCCTCAGTACCAAAAAAAAAAGACATAAAATTAAAACCTTAAGGATTAGGTATGGATTACTTTGAAAATCCAAGAGTCACCATTCCAACCCTCTATGGGAAGAGTTACTGATCTATAAGAATGCTTGCTGGCTACATGACTTACTTACCCATTTGTCCCAGATTTGGTTAATTTTACCTGAACAATTAAACATACTGCTCTTCGATTTTAGAGGACATGAACTCATACTGGACATATTGATATAGGGAAATGAAGCTCCTGACCTACTCTATGTCCAGAATGAGTTCATGTCCTCTAAAATCAAAGAATGGATCTTAGGAACAACAGAGGTTAAGAGCAGAAATACCAAGAGAAAGGAAGCTTCTGTCTGAGAGAGACAGAAGGGGTCCCGAGTGGGTTGCCAAAGATTCTGTATTTCCTCGGGATTTTTATAGAATAAAACCATGAGGTGAGGCAGGTGTTAAGTGGGGAAAACTGGGAACTCACATGGAGGGTGGGCATGAGATGGGACAGAGCTATGGTCAAGCAGTAAGTTTAATTGGACAAATCGGGAAGCAAGTCACGTAGCCAGCAAGCATTCTTACAGATCAGTGACTCTTCCCTTAGAGGGTTGGGATGGTGACTCTTGGCTTTTCAAGGTGATCCATGCCTAATCCTTAAGGTTTATAGTTAGAGTGTGGTTGCACTTGCCTTCTTTCTAAGATCTGGCCCACCGCAAGACGGTGTGTCTCCTCCAAGGTCACAAGACATTTGGACCTCTGTGCCGGCTCCCTCAAGGGCCTCGCTCTGTCTGACTGCCTATAATATTTCTCACTAGCTTAGCTGTCTGTAACAATATTAACTATAGCATAGACTCAACTTCTGCTAATTTTTAGGGAAGTATGTCAGTTTGGCCACTGTGACTTTATCTTAGGGCTTTGCCATTTTGAGATGCTTTGGCAGTCACAGTTTTGATACATTTATTTTTTACTGACTTCCCTGAAAGCCCAGTCTCTCTCTCCAACTTAACTGCCTTTCTTAACACTAGCACAGTATGAGGCTGTCACAAGAGGCTCACAGGTTCCACTCCAGCCTGGAGAACTTAGTGATTCTCAAAACAAAAGTTCTGGGCTGGGCAGGTAACAGAGTAACAAAAAACAAATAAATAAGTATTTATATTCACATACAGTATATAATATATAAAAATATATTTATTATATATGTGTGTGTGTGTGTGTGCATTCCTATGAAGCCAAGATCCATTGTGGCACAACAGCTTGAATGACACAGATCCTTGTCAGCATGTAACCTTGCTACCTGTTATCCCTGCCTCTTCCCTCCCCTCCCCTCCCCTCTCCTCTCCTCCCCTCTCCTCTCCTCCCTTCCCCACTCCCCTCCTCTCCCCTCCCCTCCCCTCCCCTCTCCTCCCCTCTCCTCTCCTCTCCTCTCTTACCCTCCTCTCCCCTCTCCTTCCCTCCCCTCTCCTCCCCTCCCCTCTCCTCCCCTCCCCTCTCCTCCCCTCCCCTCTCCTCTCCTCTCCTCCCCTCTCCTTCCCTCCCCTCCCCTCCCCTCCCCTCTCCTGTCCTCTCCTCTCCTCTTCCCATCTTCTCTTTTTCCTTTTCTTTTTTCTTTCTCTATGAAAGCCCTTTCTTACACTTGAGTGTCCCAAGATCATTTTTCTAGGAATAAGAGCTTCTACCCCACAACCCAATTTTCCCACATGTCAGCTCTGGAATTAACTTGATTTCTTTCCCTCCTGTGGGGAGTGGCTGTCACACATGTGGGGCTAAAGCAAGGCCAGCCCCAAGGACACAGTGTCCAAGGTGAGCCATGTGAATGAGCTATTACAACCTCTAAGTATGTGAGGCACCTAAGGTAAGCCAGGCAGACAAGTTGATAGGGGTTTCAATTGACATCAGCCTCCCCAGGTATAAATAAATATGCTGCAGTTGTTGGACAGTTCTTTCTCTTCCACCAGGAGAGGAGGCTCCACCTGACCTCAGCTTTCTGCATTCTGCATTCTGCCTTTTGTTTCCATTTTTTATCCTCTATCATCCTCCCTCTGAATGTAGCATTTTGATGCCTGAATAGGGACCTGGGGATGAGAAAACTTATAGCAAGTCAGAGGACACTACTGAGCACATGCGTGAACAAAACAGACTCATAAGAGCAAAAGAGCAAACAGGCTCATAAGAAGCATAGGGGGGATGATATTGATATTACCAATATTACCAATACGATTTCATCAGGTATAAAATGTGAGGCAAAAAGGTTCTCAAAGCTGACAGATGTATATTCAAATTCTTATTGTATTATTGATTCCTATATTTACCTTCCTGCTATGGACTTAGATCAGGGACTGTCTCGATGATTTTATACCTGTCGGTATAAGACAGGTTGTTGGGATGACCACAGAGCATTTGGCTCAGTACTATCTTGAAACTAAGTCCTCAACAGAAAAAGG